AGAGTCTTAGATATGACACCAAAAGCTTAAGAGATAAATAAATAAATAATAGATAAATGGATTTCGTTAAAACTAAAAACTTGTGCTTCAAAGGATACTAGCAAGAAGTGAAAAGACAACCTACATAATGGGAGAAAATATTTTCAAATTGTACATCTAATAAGAAACTTGTATCTAAAATACATAAGAAACTCCTATAATTCAATAATAAAAAGATAAATAATACAATTAAAAAATGGGTAAAGGATCTCAGTAAACATTTCTCCAAAGAAGATATACAAATAGCCAACAACACATGAAAAGTTTCTCAACAACATCGTTAGTCAGTGGGAAAATACAAATCCAAACCATAATGAGATGCCACTTCATACCAACTAGAATGGCTAGAAACAAAAACTCAGATGATAACAAGTGTTGATAAGGTTGTTGAGAAATTGGAACTTCCATACACTGCTGGTGGGAATGTAAAATGTTACAATCACTTTGGAAAAGTCTGGTGTTTCCTCAAAATATTAAACATTAAATTACCATATGATCCAGCAACTCCACTCCTAGGTATATACCCAATACAAATAAAAACATATATCCCCACCCCCCAAACTTCTATACACATGTTCATAGCATTCTTCATAATAGCCAAAAGGTAGAAACAATTCAAATATCCGTCAACTGATGAATAGATAAAATGCGGTACATCCATGCATTGGAATACTATTCAGTAGTATAAAGAAATAAAGTACCAATACAGACTACAACATGGATGACCCTTGAAAACATGTTAAGAGAAATAAGCCAGTCACAAAAGTCCACATATTATATGGTTCCATTTATATGAAATCCAGAACAAGCAAATGTATAGAGGCAGAAAGTAGATAATCATCTAGGGGTGGAGTGGGAGTAGGGCGGAATGGGGATTGACTGTTACTCAATGGGTACAGGGTTTTTTTGCGGGAGGGATTGAAGTGTTTTAAACATAGATATAACAATTTTTAAAATTTCAAAATTTTTTTGCATTTATTATGAAATAATACATGTAGGTTGGTACTTTGAAAAACAACGGTAACTAGAGTAGCAACTCAGGCACTGTAGGGCCAGCACCCACCCTATCATTGTGAACCTGTCTAGTTGTGGGACATGCACATGGGTGTACCTATTTAATCATGACACTCTCTGGGTACAATCTGGTGTTATGAAGATTAAAATGGAACCCACGCTAAGGTGGCTTGTGGGCCAGCAAAAAAAGAGAAGAGGCAGATGTCTGTCATTTTGTACTAAACTTCTTCTCACCTTTTCCCTATAAATCTCTGCTACCCAGCAGCCCTGGCGGTGAAGGCTCTGCTTTAGTAAAAGAGCAGTCCAGCAGAAAATTAACCTGACTCTAGATAAACACTTAATGGGCCTCTACGACAGATGCAGCATTAAGAGAGAAATGTTTCTACACATCTCTACATATACACATTTGCTCATTATGCACACATACACTCTTTCATTCACTGCTTCTGTATGACCTGCTGCCTCACATCAGGCTTGGGACCAGTGTAACATATTTGACTACCTTGCCTCCCCTGTTTTGTGCAGAAAAATTGCAAGGAAATCTTAGGCTATGAGTTGACTTAGCAACTCTTGTCATTTCCAGGCTGTGCATCCACCAGAGTGCAGCTGTTTGATTGGCTCTCTAGTGCTAAGCCCTCCCTGATCAAAGCATTATGTTAGCACCAGATGTGGCCAAGCTTGTCAGAAACCAAACCTCCTGTCTACTGAACATATCTAATGCTTAATGATCTGCTCCCTAGAGGCAAAAAGAAGAAAACACATCCAAAACTCCAAACAAAAGCTTGGCCTTATTTAAAAAGCAATGAAACACATTACATCAGTATCCATTAGAAAATCAAATGGAGGAATAGAATTTGTTCATTTTATCAGATACAGCTTAATACAGTCTTGGAAATATTGGGTTGTTGGAAAAGTCGTGATGCATTTTTGCAACGAAAAACATAGAAAAAATACATCATGATTTTTCCGACAATTCAGTAGATACTAGCCCTGTTGTACAGTCCAGAGGAGGGCTGGCTATACGTTTTATTATGATTGATTGTTTCAATGGATAAAAAAAGCCAATCTCCCTTCCTAACTCCTGAGTAACATTCTCCAAGGATTTTCCCTGAGCACATTAAGAGACTGGAGTCAGGGGTGGTCTTCAGCTCTCTTATATTATACTGTTAATTAATTTATGCTCCTTGCAAAACAAAGACCTATCTTAGGTCCTTAGAAAAACACCCTTCCTCATATATGAAACTCTTTCACACACTCACACTCACTCTCTCCTTCCCTCTTTCCCCCACCCCTGTCAGAGAGGTGTACATGCATACACATTCTTAGTGTGGAGAGTGCATCAGATTAAATGGGCCATTTTGGAGAGGGAGGGGCAAGTCAAAAGGGAAAATGTATTTAGAACTTTAGTAGAGACAGCCCTTGCCAATTTGTAGAGATTACACAGAGTAAACCCACATGCGCCTCCCCACCTTACCCTGCAGTTTTTAGCAGGGCTATTCTTAGCCTTACTTAGAGCTACAAGGCAATGATCTATAATGGTATGATTTGTGAGGTATGAAACAAGTCACTCTGTCGAAAACCATCTCCCCACTAGCAAAGCTATCTGAAATTCCTCACATCAATGCATTCATTAAGGTCCTTCTTTTTATTTTATTTTATTTTTTAGTTTCAGGTGTACAAAACAATGTAATAGTTAGATATTTACACCCCTCACAAAGTGATAACCCCCCCAATCTACTACCCCTCTGACATCGAGTATAGCTGTTACAATTCCATTGACTATATATATATACACACACAGGGTGCCAAAAGTGCATATAATTTTAAGAAAAAAACTGTATTAAGATTGTAATAATATATACCAATAACAAAAGATGAATACAAATCATGTTTGACTTCTGCAACTACAAGAGGTGCTCAAAGTGGTTACCATCAGCGTCCAGACACTTCTGATTATGGCAAACTACTGCTTGAGCAATGTTGACCAAAGTGTCCACTTGTATACATTTTTTTGTCACCCCCGGTATATATATGGTATTTATACTTATATAGTCACGGGATGTGGAGTACAACATAGGGAACTAAGGTTCTTCTTAAGGAGACCTATGTGCTAACTGTTAATGGGAAGTATAACATGTTTGCGAACTGTCCCATCACCACCAACCAAAGCCTTGAGAAGATGGGTAGCAGCACATGTGGGCTCTGTGGGGAGTCCAGATAAGTTTGCAGTTTAAGGCCAAAAGAACAGGCCCAAGTGAAACTCCAAAGAGAGGGATGTAATCGATGCAGGAACAGCTGGGGGTACTGGGTGTCTGGATTGTGCACAATAGGATATGGCAATTGGGGCATCACTGGTGAAATCTTGAATAGGGGTGGCAGTGGTGGTTGAGAAACAGTCTTTTCCATCCCTTCCGTGACCAGTTGCAGTATTTCCCCCAGTCTTCTGGGAGGAATGGAGAAATGGATTTGGATTCTTTGCTTGTTTGTTTACTTGTTTGTTTTTACATGAACATGGTGATTTCATGCCTATGCCCCAAAGCAGCTAGATGGCTTCACTATCTGAGATGTCAATCACCCATACATAGATCTAGCTCCCCTTGCCCAGTAATCACAGATCTGTAGTCTGAGGGTCAGGCAAACAAACCAGGCCAAGCTTCCTGAAGATGTAGGCCATCCTTACCTTATGAAACAGAGGCCTCCAGCTCCTCACTAGTGGTAGACCCCATGTCTCAAGTTCTTGTAGCTGTAACATGGAATAGATCCCCCCCGGATCTATTGCCCCCTCTACCCAGTGATTTTGGGGAATGAGGTGTGCATTTGCCGTGTTCCAACCCACTGAGCTGTGCGGCCCAAATGACAAGCTTATACATGAGCACAGAGAAAACTCCCTAGGACATGGGTATATCAGCAATGGTTGCTGACCCAGCCCCCACAGGCAAGGAGACCAAGAGTCCCTGGGACCAAAGGTCCACTGGTGATTTGGCTGCTGAAGGGGGACCTGGATCTAGCTATCTCATTTGCCCAGTCCCCATCCCCCTCCACCACCACCTCAGAACTTACCTAGGCTCAGGTTGTTGACCTGCCTGAACCGGCTTCAGAGAAGAGATGTTAAAATTGCTGCTTGACACCCTTGGTTTCAGCCTCTTACCTCCCTGAGCATCTTCAGGCTCTTTTTTCTTCTTCTTGCCAAAAAATTTCTTAAATGCTTTAAATTTGGATTTCTTCTTTCCTGGATGTTGGGAATGAAATTGAGACAGAGTGTTATGGTGGAAGAGAAGACAGGAGAGGAAACAAGAGCTTTGTAACAGGAAGGCGGACGGTGATCCCAAGTGCCCTGCAGATCTTGTCCTGTGCCCCCAGGGACCACAGCACCATTCATTTGGTTTGCTCTCTTCTTAACTCAGTAACAAAGTGTCTGAGTTTCTGGTTGGAGCAGAAGCTCAGGCACCAGCTTATAGTCTTTGGGCAGCCTCTACTTGGGCCCAAATCACCAGGCATTCACTTTCCTTTCAATTTCAAATATTTTCTTAAAGATTTTATTGGGGAATTGGGGGAGGGAACAGACAAGCTGCTGTCCTTTTGTCCTTTAGTTTAGTTGCGGAGGACGCCGCTTCACTGGCCCATGTTGGTATTGTGATCACTGCGCTCTTCCTGGCTGAGGCAGATCGGTCACCGGCCATTGGACAGCCGCTCACACCGGCTGCTGGCTGCCGGCAGCGCACGCTGATTGCCGGCCACTCACGGTAGCTTAGGAAGCCCAGTGCAGCAGGGGCTGCAGCCTACGCCATCGCCAGTGACTCACGGTAGCCCAGCTCCAGGTCGAGCTGTTGTTCACCATCTTAGCCATAGAGGGAGCAGTGTCACTGGCACATTTGGGATCTGAACCGGCAGCCCTGCTGCTCAGAGCTCACACTCCCAAGCCAACTTTTAACCAATGAGCCACTCGGCCGGCCCCTCAATTTCAGCTAGTAACACACACTTCTTTCCTGGCCCTAAGAAGTTCATCTGTATGCAGCAATTATTGAGCCAACATAAGCACTTGGTACCCCCTGATTCCACTCCAGTGGCTGGAGTCATCAAAATCCACTTGGGGAACCAAACTTCCACATGTGGGATCCAAGTGATAGTTAGAACTGCCCAGGACTTCAGGACCCTTGGAAATCCATGTAGGAGTTGGTAATGCCCAGCCTGTGTGCTGAAAGTATGTAGACCCAAAGAATGAGTACCATCAGTTGGTGCCATCAGGGAAGACTTCCTTGAGGAAGAAATTTATGAGCAAAGAAGAGGGCTTGGAATCGGAAAGAAAAAAGGGCCTATAGGCAGGCCCCCTTTAGCTTCCCCTTTAGCAACTAGCAAATTACAAGGCATGCAGTAACACTCGAGGGACAGCTGGGTCCATTGACGGGTGCAGAATACCAATACAGTTTGTCACTTCCCGTAAATTAAGATCTCTATGTAGAGTCATCCTTAAGCATCTTATAATTTAAGCAATGGCCCTTATTGAGGTTGATATACATTGTAAATAATGCAGGTAAAGAGCTTAGCATAGTATCTGACATGTAGCAAATGCTAAAAAAATGTGAGCTAGTATTAGGGAATCAATAATTACTTGTTTATTAAGACCAGATTAAATTCTATCTGTAGAATTGATCTATCAATTATATTTTTCTATTTATAGATAAGGGGAAACAGCCCCATATCTATAACTCAACAGTGAACTCTAAAATATACATGACTAGAAGCAGAAGCCAGCATAGGGTGGGACAATGAAAAGACTATGGGACTGTTTGCTTGATAATTGCCGCTTAAATAATTTCAGTTTTGGATGACTTGGGCAATTTCTCATCTACTAGGATGTACCTATATAAGGTCATGGTTAGGACAAACCTGTTAATTCTACATAAAGATAGAAAGAATAAAACATGAAGATACAACAGAAAATCTATTTTCCCTAGTTCCTTTCTTTAATTTTTTCAGGAAAAAAAATAAACGAATCTCTCTGACAATAAATTAAAATATTTAAAATGATATTTGACCTCATAGAACTACTGTGAAGATTCAATGAGACAGTACTGAAAAATATGCAGTACACAGTAGCCTGGCTCTAAAATAATCTATATTCTGCTATCTGGCCTTCCCTCTTAATATCCCCACCCCCAAATGATTTCTAAAATCTATTAAATAGTGAGATTCTTATATAAAGTCTTCATTACCATACTATACTTATTATGATAATCAGTTTTTGCTGGAAAATATTTACCAACTGGATCTCTGGGGAAAATGTTAATATTTATAGTATTTGCCTAGTTTCTGTAGTGTAAATACATACTCCCACCATGATCAATCTCAACATACTAATATGACATTTGGGAAGAGATATGCGCAGTCTCCCAAGCCAAAGTGAGCCAGCTCCAACAACCCTAAATAATTCCTGCCCAGTGAGGATGAATTGGGCAGTGTCCTCCCACACACAGAAAGGAGCATGCTATATTTTAGCTTTTGTAGGCATTGCCATTTATCAAACAGAAGGAATAAAATTGATTGACTCTTGACAGGTGGATCTCCTTCTGGCCTTCTGAAAGGGGAACTTTGTGCTCAGCATTAGGAAACAGTGATTATTGCCCCTCTTGCTTCAAAATTCCAGAATGGAAAGGAGGAAGGCAAGGTTGGAGGATTTGCACTTGTAAACCTGCTTCTCATTAACTGGCAAAGACAGGGAAAAGAGAATCAGCAGCTAATAGCTCCATTTGTGACACAATCTATATACATTTAATAACTGAATCAAAACATGTCTAATAAACTTTTCAGGCTTAAAAACTAAATGTACCAACCATAACCATAAACATGAGCACAAAAAATGTGCACTAGTACATTTTTATGTTTCTAAATTAACAAAAATGACTATTGATTCTAGAGCTGTAACAGGTGCTAAAATTTAAATATGCATGCATTCCAATTTTTCCCCCATTTTCCATTTTTGCTGGGCAGCAACAACTTATTTTCCCATGAGGATTCAGATACCTTAAGCAGTGTATGTCTCTTTCAACCTTGGGCACCAGAAGGAAAAGAATGTTTCCATTGCCCCCTGTCGGATAGTCTGGGTATGGTGGTGGTATAGTTTTGTAGGTGGGGAGCTGGGGAGCACCAAGAGATGGTAACAACCACACTTGTTGGTTTGGCTGCTCATTGATCTAGGGCAGTGACTTGGAAGCTGGATACAGCCTTAGTGAGCAACCCGTTGGCAGAGAGCAAATGTCAGCTGCAAGAGTCCAAGTCATCAGCCTGCTCTGACTTAGGAGACCTCCCCATCCTCAACCACATCAGACCCCATGTATGGAGACGAGCCCTGGCAGTGAGCTACAAAGCTGGGAACTATCCACATGTTAGATTTGAAACCCTAATGGAATCCGAGACACTTGCCATATATTCAAGTGTATAAATGGCCTTTCAAGCTTTCTTTTGTGAAGGGGTACCTTTAAATTGCCAGCAGCTGAGGCCAGTATGGGCTGGTTTCAGAAGGTGCTGAAAGTGTAAAAGGTAGATAGACCTAGACAGCAGATTTGGGTCAAAACCCACATTTGTATCCAGCAATATTTATGTAAATCAGTTATACACTGGGTACCTTATGCCCCGCAGTAGTAGTCAGTGAGCTGACAGCTGACAGCTCACAGGTGTCTGGATTTCTCCTATAAAAAAGTCATTAATTTCCCTGTCCAAGCCCCAAAACTATGTATTCTCAAACAGGAAGTAGCTTTCAACATCCTCATCCAAGGAGAGCCTGCAAACGTATCACATGCCATTTGAAAACATTCCATGGAAGGCAGGATTTTCCCTCAGAGAAGAAACACTATTAAATCCAATGACAAAATCATTGCTTCTGGGTTGTATATTTGCTTAGCCACCATGTACACAGGCATCCCATCTGGGTTGAACTTAGTGAGCTTTAAAAATGCATTGAGGGCCGGCCGAGTGGCTCAGTTGGTTAAGAGCTCGCTCAAGAGTTTGAGCTCTGAGCAACAGCGGTTCGAGTCCAGCCCGAGCTGAGCAGCCACTGAGCTGCCAACAGGTGGCAGGATGGCTCAGCTAAAAAAAAAATGCATTGTATAATAGTGACTTTGTTCTCTTGCATTGCTGCTTGGAAAGAAAACATTTCTAACTGGCCTTTCTCCCCTTCAAACTTCCAACAGCCACCTTAATCCTCTGGCTACAATGACTAATGCTAAACATGTACCCAAATGTTTTCCAAAAAAATCTTGGAAACAGAGAAAAGGCATTTTCTTTCCTCCATTGTTCACACTGCACCATATTACCAACTTCTTCTGTAGGCATCTGGCTAGCTCATATCCAAAAAGATAGGTCAGTTGCTTAGGGCTTCCTGGTCATTCATTTATTTATTACCGTATTTGCCAGCGTATAAGACGACTGGGCGTATAAGACGACCCCCTAACATTTCCACTCAAAATACAGAGTTTGTTATATACTCGCCGTATAAGAGTACCCCCTCTTCCGCACACCTTCCACACACCAAATAAAAGGTAAAACAATATCAGATTTGATTTGGCCCACTGAAGTGCAAACAAGCGTATTGTATTTCGTGTCACCACATAACCGTTTTGGCGATGTTGAGCCACCATGTCTGCTACATGTTTTTCGAGTTCTGGCCAGTGTGGGGTGCCTCTTCTTAATGCACACTTACCCCTTGGCATACTCTTTAATGCTTTCTCATTTGATTTCCAGTCCCGAACCATCTTTTCTGTTACTCCATATTGTCTTGCAGCAGCACAATTATTATTTTCCTTAGCAAAGTTTATAACTTTCAGTTTAAAATTTGCATCATACTTCTTTCTTTTGGCTGGTGCCATGATAGGGATGATAGGGGTTTGACTGGTCGACATTTTCTATGCTGTACTGTACAATGGTGCAGTATTGTGGTTGGCTGTTGGCTGTATACAAAGCCTGATTTGATTGGTTCCTGCTCCCTGTTTGCCCGCCCTGTCACTATAGCAGTCTGGTCCACCCTTGCATCAGCATCTCCCTGGGACCTCACTAGTGCGCAAGTGCGAGCTCTTCAACATTCTAACAGGCACCATGATAGCGCAAAATCGCAAATCTTCAATGCATATGTAAAGAAATATATGGTAACCCGAATTTACCACACTCGCAAAATCGCACACAGCCGAGCATACACCCAGCAGCGCTGCTGATGCCTGAACGGTATGTGGAATGAAGTGGGCGGGCATCGGGAGGCCACTATGGCACGGGGCAAGCACTATGGGCAGTCTATCTGAAGTGTACCTGGCGTATAAGACGACCCCCCATTTGGAAGCATATTTTTCAGGGCCAAAAAATCGTCTTATACGCCGGCAAATACGGTAATTCATTTGTTAAACATTTTTCAGTGTCTAATCACTCTTTCTCTCTGAGACCCAATACTAAACAGTGGTGACACTGAGATGAAAACCCAAGCTGTGCCCTGAAGGATCCATGCACCAAACTCTGCATCCCCCACCCCACATCATCAGTAAAGTCAGGTCTCCAGGAAGCCACAGAAAGTTTCTCCTCTCTCTGTCGTTCCAGACCAAGTCTTCTGTCCTATACACTACTAAGAAAATTCAGCAAAAAGTGAAGACCAACCAAGTGCACTGTTAAATTCAGCTCTGTCTTTAAGTTCAATGTCTCATTTTACATCTTATGGTTCTTTCCCCACCTCCCACCTGCGTTTTTTGTGTCAATAGGGCATATCATTGTTTAGTGACTTTTGTGTCCCTTTTTATTATCCCACTCATGGTCACCTGTCACTCATAGGTGGCACCATAATTTAGGCACTAGATACACATATGAGTAAGTTTTGCAAAACCAAATTTTGTAAATTGAATCCTGTTTAACAGAAGCCTGTGGTGGCATCCTTAGTTTCTATCTCTTTTACTCCTCAAATTACAAATTTATCTGTTGGTTAGCTCTGGATTGATATCTAGAGTAAAACCTCAGTTGAATCTCTCAGATCATGGGCTGCTTTGATTTTTTTCCAATTAAGCAGAAATACTTCTCCTGCCTTGGCAAGTAGAACCTGGTAACCATCCCCAAAGAAAATTGCAGGGACTCTGATAAACCCTTTGACTATCAGAGTTGGGGATGAAAGAGAAGAGGTTAGAAGACTTAAAAGTAAATGTGGACTGAGTTTAATGTTATTAGAAATTTGATGTGAACTTTTTTGCTTGTGACTTGATACTCATTCCCAGGGTTGTTAAACACAGTAAACAAATCTAGTTCTAGTTATCGAGATTTTATTTTTTACTTACGTTTATCACTGGCCTCCAGAACTTCCAGACTACCAGAAGCTTCATTTAGTGACTCAGCCATAGTAAGATCACTAAAGTAAAATGTAGAGTGAAAAAGCAGATCATCAGTTGATATCCAGGGCATAACACAATCATTTTACCCTACCCTTATTCTTCAGTTAGATTTTTAATTATTCAAGAAAAGTATACAAAGGGAATTACCATTAGGATTGATTATCTTTCCTGAAAAAAAGACAATGATTCTATTTAAATGAAATGTCCAGAATAGGCAAATACATGGACACAGAAAAGTGTCTTACTTAGGGTTTGGGGGGTTAGGTTTTGTTTTTGTTTTTATTGAGTGGCAAAATACAGGGTTTCTTTTTGAGGTGATGAAAATTAAATGTGGTGATGGTTACACAAATCTTTGAATATATTAAAATGCATTGAATTGTATACTTTAAATGGAGGAATTGTATAGTATGTGAATTATATCTCCATAAAGCTGTTACTTTCCCCCCCCACTGCCGCCCCCAAAGAAAGACAAGTGTAGAAAACCTGATCTATTGCTTTGTGTTAGGGCCCATTAGTTTTGGAGGCCAGTTACTATTCATGGGTGCACCCAGGGAGACAAAATTGTTTCAATAAGCCATAAAGGAAAATACTAAGACATTTGACTACATAAAAATGTATAACTTTGGCCACAAAAAAAGTTAATAGTCAACAGAAGAATAACAAACTAGGAAACAATACTTGAAATAAATATATAGATAGAGGGGCCAATTTTCTTAATTTGTCAAGAGCACATACAAATCGATAAAAGACAAACAATTCAATATAAAAGGGGGCAAAGAACACAACAGTTTACAGAAAAAGAAATATAAATAGCTAATAACCACATAAAGAAAGGCTCACTGCCACTCATAATTAAAGAAATGTAAGTCGAGGGCCGGCCGAGTGGCGTGATGGTTAAGAACTGGCTTGGGTCGCCAGAGGGCCCTGGTTCGGATCCCACATATGAGGGCCAGTGACACTGCCCTCCACAGCTAAGATGCTGAACTACAGCTCAACCTGGAGCTGGGCTGCCATGAGTCACTGGCGATGGCATAGGCTGCAATGCGTTGCCATGGGCTACCGTGTAGCCAGCAGCCAGCATGAGTGGCCAGCAGCCAGCGTGAGCAGCCAGCAGCCAGCAGCCAGCGTGAGCGGCCAGCAGCCGCTGTGAGTGGCCGTCCAGAAGCCGGTGACTGATCTGCCTCACCCGGGAAGAGCGCAATGATGGTGCCAACTTGGGCCAGTGAAGCAATGTCCTCCACAACTAGACTGAAGAACCAAATGACAGAAACTTGTCTGTTACCCTTCCCCCAATTCCCAAGCACTGTTCCAATCCCCCCAGTTCCCCAACAAAAAACTTAAAAAAAAAAAGAAATGTAAGTCGAAATATCAAATTAACATTTTCACCTATCAGGTTGTCAAAAAAGTTTTAATTTTGATGATATTCCATTGCTAACAAGAATGGGGAAAATACACACTCTCATACATTATGGAGTGTGAATTGCTCTGTGAAGAGCAATTTTGCAGTATCAAAATTTAAAAAATACATATACCTTTTGATCCAGTAGTATCACTGCTAGAACTTTACACTGTAGATACATTCACACTTGTATACAAATATATACATGCAAGAATGTTTATCACAGCATTGTTTAAATAGCCAAAAATTAGAAACAACCAAAATGACCATCAAAAGTTAATTCTCTCATGACTCTGATTCTATGTCATGGGAGAATTATCTCTCCTTGTGCTCTTTTCCATTAATGCAGATAATCAATTAAGAGTCAACTGTAAATTTTCCATTCAATCTAGCCTTCTAGTAAAAACTAGGGATGATAACTCTAGGTAAGCATGTCAGTTGATAAACCTTCTAAATTAATGCTGACTGACATTTTTTATGGGAGTTTGGTGGGGGAATCTGACAGGCATGATAACCCAGAGAAATGGTGCTGTGTTCATACACAGCAGGTTCTGGAGCGCCCCCTGACCCCGTCCCTCAGGTCTTCTCTGCACCCAGACATAGTCAAGCTGACCTTGCTGTTTCATGGATGGGATCCAAGCCCATCGGTGCTGCTCTCTATAGCCATAAGCCCCTAATACATCTCTGGAGATAGAGAGGAGTGACCACAGGCTCTGAGGTTAAGGCAAACTTGAAAGTCACCCAGCAAGAGTGACTGAGGATTTGGAAAACAAAAGATTCCAAACCACAATGAGAGCTGACAGGGTCTTGGTGTCAAGATGGCTTCCGACTCTCACTGAGAAGTCCTGTGGTTCCCCACGGTGTGTGTTCTTTCTCGCTGCAATGAATAATAAACCCATCTTATTAAACAACTGGTGTGTTCCTGGTGGGCTTTGGTTGAAAGGTATTGACACTTTGTTCAAATCACTCAAACTCTATGAGCTTATATCACAATTCTTTCTGAAGATAACTTAGCCCCAGGCCCACACAATGCTCACTAGTATACACACACACACACACACACACACACACACACACACACACACACACATACACATTTCATCTGGAGATCTGGAAAAAACAAAGGGGTAGGGAAATTCAAAAGCCACTCAGAGGGAGAACAGAAACATTCCTTGGACTATCACTGGTGAGCTTCTGGACCATCTTAATAAATATAGCAGCACTCCCACCCCCTGCCACTAAGTAAGGCTTTTTAGACACTGGGGAAATAAACTATCTTTGAGCTTTAGAGAAGCTAGTGGAAAAGTAGGCTCTTTTCCAAAATACCAGGCCATAGCAGGATAACATTGTTCTTGACCTACCATTGTCAGAAGTAGAAGAAAGGGAAACAACAACCAAAGAGAAACTATGAAAGACTAAAGGGAGAACAAAGAAAGGAGGCTTCTTGGCGGCATCTAAATCCTTAGAGCACTAATAGAATCATTCCATTTAACTATCATTTCATTAACTAACTCTTGAGTTTAGACTGTCTCAAATTCTTTCTGGAATACTTGCCCTATTTCTCCCAACTGAATCCAAGGGTCCCGAGGATAGCACCACCATCAGCTGAGCTGTCTCCCCTTCTAAACAAATAAGCCCACAACCACAACAAAACACAAAAACCTCCCCTTGATTCAAAATCCTCTTTCTGTTACCACCCCATTTCTCTGCATCTCTCTATAACAAAATTCAAAAGAGTTATTTATACTTACTCTCATTATGTCTTCATTTCTTAGTCTCTTGAGCTCTTTCTAATCAGGCTTCCAAACTGAACAGCTTCCAAATCACTTTACCAAAACTGCTCTTGTTAAATCCAACCATCACTTACTTGACATCCTAGAAGCATCTGACACTCCCTCCTTTTGAATAATTGTATCACTTGCCTTTATTACAAACACTGACACTCCCCTAATTTTTCTCATTGGTTGTACCTTTTCAGTCTCCTTTTCTGGGTTTTTCTCCTCTCCCTGAATTTGAAACATTGTAGTACCTGGGAGCTCTGTCCTTGGCCCTCTTTTTTACCTAAAACCATTTCCTAGATCAGTGCCATTAGACAGAAATGTTACTGTGAGCCACAATTTCAAGCCACATATGTAATTGTTAATTTTCTAGGAGCCACATTTTAAAAAGCAAAAAGGAGTGGATGATGTTACTTTTAATAATTTTATTTAGCTCAATAGAACCAAAGTATTATAATTTTAACAGGAAATTATTATAAAAAATAATGTCAATAAGATATTTTCCATTTTTTTATATTGTCTTTGAAATTTGGTGTGTATTTTGCATGTGCATCACATCTCAATTTGGACTAGCCACATCTAAGGTGCTAAATAGACACATATGGTCAGTGGCTACCATATCCTAGATGATCTTACTCAGGCTTTAAATACTATCTCTACTCTCTGGGCTCCAAAATCTCTATCTAGACTGGATCTCTTCCCTAAACTCCATATTCATATAATCAACTGCCCAGCTACCATCTCCACCTCATAGTGCATATTGAACTCTTGGTTCCCCTCACACTCAGTCCTCCTCCAGTTTCCCTCATCTCAGGAAATGCCACGAACCAAATGCTCAGACTAAAATGTAAGAGTCATTGATTCCTTTCTTACCCTGCCATGTCACATCTAATCCAACAGTGAATCTTTTGACCCTTCCTTCAGCATATTTCTGTAATCTAACAACCAATTCTTACCTTATTTGAACTGCCATTATCTTGTTGCTGGATCACTGCCATAACTGGTCTCCCTGCTTCCATCTTTGCCTCCCTATTCTCCACAAAACTACCACATCAGTCACGTCAGCCCTCTGCTCAAACCCTCCCAGTGGCTTGCCTTCACATTCAGAGCAAGCTCCTTAACTTGGGCCTTACGTGATCTGGCCTCATACCCATGTCCCACTGACCACTGATTCGGCTACCCTCCTACTGTCTCCCTCCATGCCAGTCTCACTGGCCTTCTTACTAACCTCCAATACACCCCGCCCCTTTCAATCTCAGGGTCTTTGCATTTGCTGCTCTTTCTGCCTAAAGGACACTTTCCCCAGCTAGTTTCATGGTTGACTCCTTTGTAGCATTCAAGACAGCTCATATGTTAACTCCCAGAGAGGATCTCCATGATCATCCTAGTTAAAGCACTCCTAGTCTCTCTCCATTATATCATCCTTTATCAACACCTTCATGGCACTCATCACTACCTGAAAGTGTATTGTATAATATTTCATTACTGGTTTCTTGTCTGTTCCTCTACTAGAATGTAAATTCCATTAAGGGCAAAGATCTTGCTTATTTTGCTCATCACTGGATCTCCTAGAACCTAGAATGGTACCTGGCACATACCAGGAACTCAATAAATGTTGAATGAATACCTAAATTCAATAAAAGGGGAAGTAATATAAGAACGATCTTTGTGGTCAGCAATTTCTTAGAAGCAGAGGTATGCTATAAGAGGCAGAGGAAAACTTGTCCTAGGAGAAGAACCTCCTTTTTTCCCAACTTAGCAGGACTTGACTTCCCTCCCAGCAAGATGAGCCCCACCCCAAGCTTATTCACAAGTGCAGAACCAAGTACTCTTGGGACCC